CCACTTCACCTTCAGCCAAGAATTTATATTTGATGCAGTAAATCTACAGTTTCTATCTTTAGTTTGGGACCCGCATTGGTGATCGAACTCATAACTCAGTAGTCATGATCTGAGAGACCGACCCGTTACATTGTGCAGAAACACCTGTAGACACATGGAGTGGCTTAAGAAGTAAAACATTCCAAGAAAAAATGGTTTTGCATGCAAGTCTGCCGAAGGCACGATTATGTAAGTTTACTGTTGAATATGTCGAGATGCCAATTTGGAAAGGAACAGGTCATTTATAATACTGGCTGTTTTCAGTCTTCGTGGACATAATGTCCTGTTTCGAACGCAAGATTACAGCCACGATATTTATGCAGTTAGTGGGGGGGGCGGTCGTAAAGTGGGAAGTGGTCCCAAAAGATACCGCAGGGAAAGGTCGCGCCTACCATTGCTTGAACTGGATTTGGACAGAGATCAGTGGGGGGTCTAAGCGAGAAGGGAAGGCTGGATGGCTAGAAGGCATTGGTTGTCTATATAAGATGAACAAACCTCAAGTGGATCTTGCTGACGTCGTTAATATTTTGGTCATTTCGGTATTTGGAGAATTCAAGAGGTCCTTGAAATATGCAAGACATCAAACTTTCAAATAACATTCCGGCACATGTTCCAGGTATTCTTTCTCATTTTGCTCATTATCTATCTATCTATCTATCTATCTATCTATCTATCTATCTTAACCTGTTCATAATCTATGTACTTCACTCTGATCCTATCTATCTATCTATCTATCTATCTATCTATCTATCTATCTTAGCCTGTTCATAATCTATGTATTTCAGACTGATCGTTATCTATCTATCTATCTATCTATCTATCTATCTATCTATCTTAGCCTGTTCATAATCTATGTATTTCAGTCTGATCGTTATCTATCTATCTATCTATTTATCTTAGCCTGTTCATAATCTATGTATTTCAGTCTGATCGTTATCTATCTATCTATCTATCTATCTATCTATCTATCTGGGCCTGTTCATTATCTACGTACTTGAGTCTGTTCGTTAATCTATCTATCTATCTATCTATCTATCTATCTATCTATCTATGTGGGCCTGTTCATAATCTATGTACTTCAGTCTGATCGTTATCTATCTATCTATCTATCTATCTTAGCCTGTTCATAATCTATGTATTTCAGACTGATCGTTATCTATCTATCTATCTATCTATCTATCTATCTATCTTAGCCTGTTCATAATCTATGTATTTCAGTCTGATCGTTATCTATCTATCTATCTATTTATCTTAGCCTGTTCATAATCTATGTATTTCAGTCTGATCGTTATCTATCTATCTATCTATCTATTCATCTATCTCTATCTATCTATCTGGGCCCTCATTTCATTATCTACGTACTTGAGTCTGTTCGTTAATCTATCTATCTATCTATCTATCTATCTATCTATCTATGTGGGCCTGTTCATAATCTATGTACTTCAGTCTGATCGTTATCTATCTATCTATCTATCTATCTGGGCCTGTTCATTATCTAGGTACTTCAGTCTGTTCGTTAATCTATCTATCTATCTATCTATCTATCTATCTATCTATCTATCTATCTTATATTTACATACACTCTATCCTTAATATTGCTCACTTTTGTCCATAACCATAGCCTACCTTCAAACTATATTTGTAATACAGGACGTGTTGAATTGAAGAGGAACAGATAAAAGCAATGAATCGCCCAACTTAACGAGCTTGTGTAAATGGTTGACAGAATTAGGAGAGATCACTAAAGCACAAACCTTGTTAAAAGCCACAAACGACAGGAAGTTGTGTTGAGCAATGATCGCCCACGGCCTGAAGGGACATTGCATAAAGAAGAAAAAAAAAACGTTTTCAATAGCTCGTGTCTAAACACGTGATTTCATTTCACACGTGACTGAAATTTATGATACATTTACAAATTCTGAAAAGTGATATTTCAGCGCATCTCTTTATACAATTCGGATGTAAATTATGAATTTTAAGTCTTTGTAAGTTTGCTCTTTTATTTCTGAAACGGGAAAGGTAACGCTGTACAAGCAGTAAAAACCTGTGTCATTTATAGAGATGTTGCTATAGCTGAGAATACTGTACATACTGCTGGCATTTCCATCCGAATTTCTCTGTTCAAATGTAACAAAAATGACATATGTTCAAATAACGATCACAAACGATGAAAATGGATTGTTTACAACAATGTATTGCGAAATCGATGTTGGGAAAAATGGAATAAGCAACCGTTAACCACTTCGAAAGTTTGTCTACATACAAGAAAGGCATTGAATTCAAACAGGTACTGCTCTCAGTTGGAACAATTAAAGGCAGCAAGCATCCAGAACTGGTTAATAAGCAGGGCGTCGTATTACATCCGGACAGCCGCCGGCTTAACGGCCCTTTGCAGACCCGACAGAAATTGCTACATTTTACCTAGGATGTCTTGTGATACCAGTTCGGATTAGTATTAATGAGAATTAAGTTCAGTTCCCTGAAAGTCTCTTAAAAAGCCTCTCAAAAGCACCCAGAACGAGTCCAAGTTCAAACAGGGTGGAATTATGAAACTGCCTTAAAGATAACGATAGGTTGTGGAACAATAATTTTGGTTGAATAAATTTAAAATGTAAAATTATTTATATATTTTCTTTGAAATTTATTGAAAAATCGCTAAGGAACATTTGTTTCGACCCAACATATATATCTGACGGTGGAGTAATGGATAGCGGCTTGGATTGAGGAATCGGAGAGCGGAGTTCGAATTCCAGTGAAATCCACCACCGAATTCTAATACCCTTGGGAAAGGTATTAATCCTCTTCTTCTCCCTCAAGCTATGGGTAAATAGCAAGACAGACTGGGTTCTATAGCCATGGATGGCAACTGGTCTAGGAGAAGGACAACTCTGCATTCAAAACCTGCGGTGGGTCATTTGGGGACTTTGTGGCACGTAGTGCACCAGGTCTCTGTATTCGGCCCTTCAGAAAGTGTGGATGGTCCTGCACGAAACATTCACCACTATAATCAAGTATATAATAGTCAGACTGTCTATTTCCCAGGAACTGATCTGCTTGAGCCTCATACGTCGAATTCGAAGGGGAGAGTTGAGCATATATATATATATTGAAAAGATTAATGGTCAGTGTTGGATTAAACCAGGAAACAGTAGTATTAAATGTGCTCAACAAACGTATGAAAAACAAAAACAAAACTTTAGTTTGTAGGGAATTTAAATTAAAAAATAAAATAGATCAGTCGATTCCGCTTCTTTGGTTTCAGCCTTTCAGTATCGTCAGGCGGTTTGTATTCAATTGATTTCTCAAAGATTTATTTTTAAAGAAATTATTAATCAAAGCTTTATTATTTTTAAAATAAATAAACAAACACGTGGCGTTGGGTATGATAGGAAAGGAGGAGGAGGAAGAAGGAAAAAGAAGGAGGAGGAATAGAAGATTGGGGAGGAGCAAAGAAAGGGTATTGCAAATGTATCGATGGGGGGGTTAATCGAAATGTACATATTTTTTTATCCAGACTCATATGAAATTAAGAGAAATTTTTTTGTATGAATGCAATGGCTCATAGTCTTGGATCTTTGATTCAAAAGCTTTTTGGAATCCGGGAATGTCATTATTGCTCACTTTTCTTGTTGTTTTCAGATGTTATCGTTGTTGCACGGTTATATATATATATATATATATATATATATATATATATATATATATATATATATATATGGTTGCATTTCAAATATTTCATACACACTTAAAGATACCATCCCTGGGAAGAATGCCATTTTATTTAATGTGGGCTGTTTAGTTTGTAAGATAATAGCTTTTCGGTTTTTAAGTCTTCCCTTGTATTTGGTGCTGTAGAGCATTTTGTTATTATCCACTAAGATTTGTCTGATGTTGATAGTTGGAGTTTTGTTGTTCATGATCGATATGTGCATGGATTGCACTGAGTTTCGACAGGTGTCCAGATTAATTTGCGTGAGAGCGTGATGCACGTGTGTCCGATAGAAGAATCCAATGCTGTTTTTTTGGTTATTAATTTTCGAGAATGAAATATTCCAGAGGATAGAAGAATTCATAAGCAAAATTATTTTTACATAGATCGTGGGTTCATGTGTCGTGTTGTTGGTAATGATTAGATTAGATGTTTTAAACCTTTATAGTAGATGATAAACACTTAAATGTTTGTTAGGATCACTGAGTGATATTATATAACCTTGCGACAGACTTTTGTTATAATTAGTAGGTTAATACAATGAAACGAGCCTGTTTGCTTAATTCTTTGTTAACCGCTTTCAAAATAAAAGGAATAAATATAACCCCGACAAGCATTCTTCTAGATAAACATTACTTGACGAACAAGAATATGCGGTTAAATTTACGGGTATATCTATATGTCTCGTTCATGTGTAAATAAATATTTTTTTCTTTTCTTCACGCAAAATTGACTACGAGGTTAACAGGTAATGTCTAGGCAGACATATTAATGGTAAAATGATTTCTCCCAAATGCTCACACTGCCATTTTCTTCGCCATTAAAAATCGTAGAATGCCACTGAAGAAACATTTTACCAAAATATCTAGGGATACAACAGAGCGCAAGGAGTTTTATTTTCATGCCTATTTTTAAGAAATTCCTACCAAATGAATATAAGGAGTCTTTGCTTATATTCGTGGACAGCGTTTATCCGTGAAGCAATCGACTTACAACAATGATTATCAAGCAGGTTCCTCGGGTGTGATTTCAACTTTCGCTGTCTCAAAGTATTGGAGTCTTGTACCAGGCAAGTTCTGTAAACTTAGCAAATATTTATATTTGATGCTGGATGAGTACAGTGATAGTAAGAAAGGAGTGAAACCCAATTGATGGTTCCATTAGAATATCTTTGTTTCAGACTTGACAAAGCAGGAAATCATATCTGCATTCATTGGTTGCCCTTTACTTTTCTCAATTGCAAAATAAATAGATGCCCGCCTTCATCCGTTGTTTTTTTTTTTTTTTTTCATATGCAACACTCACTTTCGTCCTGTCAGGCTTAACTTCTCTCGGAATTTATTTTTCTTTCTTTCTTTTTTTCTTTCTTTCTTTCTTTTTTTCTTTCTTTCTTTATTTATTTTCATTCTATTTATATTTAATTCTTCTTTTCTCCCTTTCTTTGTTTCATTTTTCTTTGTTTTTTCTTTCTATCTTTCTTTCTTTCTTTCTTTCTTTCTTTCTTTCTTTCTTTGTCTTCTATTCATTTTTATGTTTTTTCCTTCTTTTTTCATTTTGCTCATATATCATTTTTATAATCTTTTTTGTTTTTGTTTATTCTTTTTTCTTTTTCTTTTTTCTTTCTTTCTTTCTCTCTTTCTTTCTTTCTTTCTTTCTACTTCCTTCATACTATCTGCTTTCATTTTGTTTTTTCTTTCCTTGTTTCTTTTCATTCTACTTATAATTCTTTCTTTCGTTTTTCTTTTTTCTTTACACTTATTTTTCCCTCTTTCATTTTTTCGTTTCATTCATTCATTCCTTCTTTGTTTTTGCGTATTTCACTGTTTTTCTTTCGTTTTTCTTTCATTTAATTTTTACTCTCTCGTTTGTTTTTTTTCTACTCTTTTTATTTTCTTCTTTTCATTCATTTTTCTTCTTTCCGTTTATTTTTCTTTGTTTCCTCCATCTCTTCTCTCTCTCTCTTCTCTCTCTTGTCTCTCTCTTGTCTCTCTCTCTCTCTCTCTCTCTCTCTCTGTCATTCATATTAAACTCTTTTACTACAATATCTTTAATTCATACTTGAAAATTCTCAGTTAGACGTTTCCTATTTCTCTTACAGAAAATTCCATGTATAATGAAGATGCACACGATAATATATATATATATATATATATATATATATATATATATATATATATATATATATATATATATGCGTGGGTGGGTGTGTCTGTGTAGTTTTTACTGTAGAAGATAAGGTAGGAATTCTTTTTTACTATAATTTTCAGAGTATGTTTCACAATTGGTGCCTTCGGCTATTAAATAACTTTTTATATATGACTCTCTCTCTCTTTTTCTCTCTCTCTCCCATTTTCTCACTAGCTCCTTTATTTTTTTCCCTTTTTATATCTTTTCTGCCCACTCCCTTTGTATATATTCTTTATCCACTTCTCTCTCTGTATATATATATCCTCTCGTTCCCTCTCTCTGCCTATATAATATCCTCTCTCACCTTATATGCATATTTTCTCTTCACTTCTCTCTCTATATATATAGGCTTTCTTCCTCTCCCTCTATTTCTGTATATAACTCCCTCCTTCTCTTTGTCTATATATTCACACACCATCTCATCTTGAATATATATTTTCTCTTCTCTCCGTATATATTCTCTCTCTCTCTCTCTCTCTCTCTCTGTGTCTATATATATATATATATATATATATATATATATATATATATATATACACACTTCCTCCCTCACTTTGTCTATATTATCTCTCTCTGTCCCTCTTTCTCTCTCTCTCACCTACTCTTTTTTTATATATTCACGCACCATCTCACCTTCAATATATATTTTCTCTTCTCTCCGTTTATAATCCTTTCTTTCTCTATCTATCTATCTATCTATCTATCTATCTATCTATCTCTCTCTCTCTCTCTCTCTCTCTCTATATATATATATATATATATATATATATAAATACTCTTAGGAATAGTATGAATCCATCTCTTCTCCACACAAGCTTTGGGTTAGATAGTAGGATTTGTATCTGGAAAAAAAACCTTTTATGCAATATTCATTCGCAGAAAGTATCATTCTTACAATACAAACTATGCTTAGGTTCTAAATAACCCAAAAAGGGTTGATAAACCGTAAAAAACACAAATCACTCAATCAATTGACAATCTCCGCCCTCTGCCAATATATATTTTCACTCTTCACTTCCCTCTCTGTGTATATATTCTCTCTCCGATCACTCACTCACTCTGTATATATTCTCGCACTCTCTTTTCTCTCCCACTCACAAACACTTTTCTTTCATCCTATCCAGCATATATTCTTTCTCACAATTATCGCATATTCATTTTAATAGGACTCGTTTCTTCCCCCCGCCCTCTCTCTCTCTCTCTCTCTCTCTCCGTTTGTGCCTTTTTCCTCTTTTTCTCTCCTTTCTTTCCTCCTCACATTTATTCTCTCTTATCTTCTGCCTTTCGCTTCCACATATAAGCGGAGGGATAGAAGCAAACTGAATGCCCAGCCGGTTGAGAGGGGTCTAAAACAACGGTCTTTGGTATGGCCAAGTAGGAGGATGACATAATCACAAATGGTCAGCAGCGTAGAGCGCTTTGCCAGCCCGCGGCCGCGCACGGTCGAACTGGACACAGAGAGATTGTCCGGGCGACAATGTCAAGAAGTCGAGTCTTGTTGAAAGTGAACAAGAGATCTGGCATCCCATGAAGCCGTGAGCCCATCTTGTCCACTTCTGTCCTCTCTGATGCCCGAAGAAAAGACAAGGACTTGGCAGATGCACCTGCAGTGTCGTCGTGCAACTTGGAAGAAGGACAACAACAAAGAAAAAGACGAAGACAAGAAAGGGCGAATGTATAGATTTATACTTGCGTGCTTATACACCTGTGTTGTTAGAGATGCACACACACACACACACACACACACACACACACACACACACACACATATATATATATATATATATATATATATATATATATAAATCATTTACATGTATGGGAACATACCTATATATCTAAATTAATCGATACATATCGATATTTAGAGCGGGGCGCTGAAATTTCTCAATTCGTTCCATTTTTCAAAATTGGAACACCAGAATTTTGATTTATTTTATTTTTAGAATAGCTCCTTGTCGCACAGAGAGCTTTTTAGCACATATATTATACAAGTATAATAGATAGATATGAACAGGCTGAGATAGATAGATAGATAAATAGATAGATAGATAGATAGATAGATAGATAGATAGATAGATAGATAGAAGGGTATTTTAGGTGCACCGAGAAATTGTCAGCATTTCTCCTATAAATACATATGACTAATGGTATAGTCGATACATATTTTGGATTGCAATTTTTTACTAGTGAATATTGCATTAATAGTCCTACTATTTAACCGATAGGTGGGGGAGAAGAGAAGGATTAATTCGTTTCCCTATAGTATTTGCTCGTGAATGCAAGGAACTCGATTAAAAGGGAAGAGAAAATATGTATGTAAGGTGTGTGTGTGTGTGTGTGTGTGTGTGTGTGTCTGAACTCGAACACCAGCTTATCTCACCAGTTCGAAGTAGCAACAAATACATTTCTCCTGCTGGTGAGAGGAGATTTACAAGAAGGAAACATATTCATCCGTATGTCAGATCTTTATTGGATCCCTTCTGCTAGCTTGCTTAGTTTCAAATAAATGGTAATGTTAATATTAGCCTTTTTCTATTCGACTTACGCTTTCTTTCATTCCTGACTGAGTAGCCATTACTATTCGAGTTATGCTTTTCTTCACTCACTAGGCATCAGCTTTTAATCAAAGGGTACTATCTGTTCTCTTCTCTAACGGTAATGTTAATATTAGCCGTTTCCTTATAAGGAAACATTCGACACTGAGAAGACTCAAGTCCAATAATTTTTATTGATTTTCTACTAACGTTTTCCTTTATTGATTGGGATTTCCTTCCTAACCTTTTGATTATGTCATTATTTTCTCTTCGAGTTCCATGTGATATCCATTTTAGTTGTTGCTGCTGTTGAAACTACTAATAAAAAAGCAACAGACTTGCCTAAAACATTACTTTCTTTTGTTTTTCGAAAGAAAAGCCTTTTTGGCTGTGTTTAAAGAAACTAAGAATTAAATTATTACGACTCCAATACAGCAGAGTAGGAAATAACAGAAATAAGTTAAGAATTTTGTTACCTCGAAAGTACTACCAATCGTTGAGAATTGTGAAAGAATTAGCCGAAAGCGCTGGGGACGATAGATATTATGGCCAATAACACGGTTTTCAAGAAGTAAAAATTGTAAGAATACAAGAAAAACAATAGAAAATCACTTTTTCCCAGTGATTTTTCTTATATCTTGAGGAGCATTGTGATTTCTATCTGAGAAAGACCTAGATAAGTTACCGCATTTATTTGTTTTTTTTCTATCCCCCTAAAATCATTGTGCGCTGAAACATTAAATAGTGTATCATAGCTGCCAATAGCTACGCTACCTCTTTACCTATTATGTTGGATATTTATCATCCAGTTCATTTCTGCACGTGTAGTACTGTCGTCATCTAAAACAGCAACTATGAACCTCTGGTTCTATGGCTTCAACAGACGGGTTTAGAGAGTTAACATATCTAGCACTGTTTCTGTTTGTTTGCAATTCTCCTGTCTGAATTTCTGTGAGTTCAGTCCCTGTATTCGTCAGGGTGTAGTTGGACTTTGTGAAAAAGAGACGAGTAATAACTGAGCAATGCTAAATAAGAACAAGACGAAAGATCTGTAGACATGTACAATGAAACGAGAACAGTCTACCCTCCACCTCCCACGTAGATTAAGGGTTCAGTTCGAAAATTCCCACGTATGTTACACGGATCCACATAGACGTGATGAAGGCCGGAGGCAACAACGGCCGAAACGTTGCGATGGTAACAACAAATATCTGAACTAGTAGTCGACGAAAATAATAATATAATTAATTTATTTATCTTTGTCTCGAGATACTGTCTTTTATATATATTTATGTATGTTCACGTTGTCACAAGTCAGCGAGACCGAAGGTGAGAGCGTACTGGTTTGGTTCTTCGCGGCCTTTTTTAATCATTTCACCCCAAGTAAGGTAATAAATCCGTTAAGACGCAAGCGGGGGGGGGTACTGTGTTTGAAAGAATATAAGAAAAAATCCTTTAGAAGGACAGAGAACAATAAGAGACCATGAATTAAGAAGACAGAAGATATCGATTGAAAATACATTTGAATTTTTGAAAAGTTGACTATAAAGTAAAAAGGAAGAGATTTCCACAAGCGAGAAGTGCGAGAGAAGAAACTGTTAGCATATCTAGGCATTTCAATTGTAAAATGATGAGACCTTGCTGCCAATTTAGTAAATGCTCTAGAATTCATAAAGTCTTGAGGATAATGAGGAATATTCATCGGAATAATTATCATGAAAGTATTAATGAAAAAGAAAGCGGGAAGCCCCGTTACGGCGTTGCGGAAGGGACTGAAGCCGAGATGCCAGGTGAGGACCGTTAACGTTTCAGATTCTTCTTTGGATTTCATCAAAATTTTCTCAATATATAGCAGAATTACCAAATCAAATGTGACATCCAATGAATTATCGATTTGTAGACTTATAAATATGAAACATAGATTCTGAAGAGAAGAATTTCTTGATCCATTTCTTAAAATGTGACCAAATAACCTGAGATCATAAATTTTTGTAAAGGGTTTCTTTACCGGGTCGAGAACTTTTCAGCACTCCCTAGCATTTCTGCCTGCCATTGTGTTTGTCCGCGCGTTTGCGATTGAAATTTGGCCGTGGTAAGCGAAACACCGCCGTCTTAGACAATTATTCCCGCTTCCTCTACACTTAACGCATTTCCACCGGAGCTGGACACTCCTCTTGTTGCTACGACGGCAGCCATCGTCTCTACTTGTTGAAGATTCTTGAATATGGCCGTTTGGTCGGCTGTTTGCCAAGTAAAAGCCACGGCAGTGAATAAGCAGCACTTGATGCCCGTGTCGAACCCCCCAGCACGAACACTTGTTTCATTTCTTTTCCCGCCAGACAGGGGATTACATGATGAGGTTCACGTATCGCTTTTGCTGACCGTTGGCCGTTTTTGCCCTCTCATATCCTCTGACAAATTACTTGTCATTCCACCTTCGAAACGCTCACTCACTCTCCGTACGATATTTGATTTTCCTCGAGGTGCAAACAGGAAAATGTTGACAACCGGTTTGCATGACTGAGACACGTGCTTAACAAAGCTTGATATGGTTATGGGAAGAGAGGATTCGAAAAGAAAAAAAGACAGAACTGATCGAAAATTGGAAACTGGGTTTCAATCGCAGATTTCAAATGAAAGATTAGATATTAAATGACTTTTGAAAAAAATGTATTGTTAATTATCATTGAAGATTGAGTCATTTATAGCGTCTTTTGTAATTATTTATAGAGTCTTTGGTAATTAGTCATATTAATACTTATAGTAATGGTGATATTAACTGTTTCCTTGTAAGGAAACATTTGGCAATCCTTGACCGATTGAAATTTATTGAATCTTTCCTTTGGAACAGTTTTTCAGAAAAGTAGGTTTCTCAAGTTCACAGTTATTGCTCTTACCAGTATTAATGGGAATTTCCTTCCAAACCTTTTTTTTAAGTATTGTGGAATGTCAACATCTTGATTTTGTCATTTTTTTCTCTTCCAGTTAAAGGTGCTATCCATTTCCAATTAATGCGAAAATAATAATAATAATAATAATAATGATCAAAGACCACAAAAACAGAATATGGCATTTCCTGCAGACTGGATATTAAAAATCTATCAAAATACAAGTATCTACAAGTCGAAATACAAACAATGAAGACATCAATAATTCTAGTTATGGTTTGAAACCTGGGTTTAATTGGAAAAGTTTCTCATAAACTCATTGCAGGTATCCCTTATAACACATACTTTAAAGAGAAAAAAACAACAGAAAAAAAAATTCTCACATGTATAGCTCACACCTTACGAAATTTTTTTTATGTCTTTAAAACGTCTGTTGTTTGAGTTTATTTTTTGAAAAATCTACATTTGGAAATGTTTGCTATAATTTCTGAGCACAGGCCTCTACTTGGGACCCAGAATGAAATTAGTATACAACAGAAATACAAGGAAATAAAAATAATAATTAAAGAAAAAAACGTCTTTGAGAAAGTTTTAGAAAAACTGAGTAAATCTGGAGATGGAAAAAAAATTGGAGCTTAAAACGATAACTATTCCTGTTGTGGTTGGAGCTTTGGGTCTGATAAAGAAAGGAACTCAAGAACAAATAAAAAAAAGTCCCTGGTGCACCATCTGGCAAAAAAAAAAAAAAAAAAATCCAAAAAACTAGTTCTAACAAACACAGCCCATATACCACGAGCTTTGTTCTTTTAATTTTTGTTAGTAGCTGTCTTTTGTTTCGAAGCAACATAAAATTCTCTCGATTCTCTTTTCATTTAGAATCCCTGAAATAGATGTAATAATTATGTATGGAAATAATTCTAAGAGAACTTGTGCCAGATGTGATCCGAAACACCCACTTATCAGTTGGTAATTAGTAGGAATTTACACACGATTTCAATTGGTCTAAGTATATATATATATATATATATATATATATATATATATATATATATATATATATATTTTTATTGGACTCTCCGGTCGATTTCGACGTATGAGGGTCAAGCAACTCAGTTCCTAAAACCTAAAACAGACCACCCGCACAAATCATTTGATTCTAGTGGTGAAGGCTTTGTGCAGAACCAACCACACTTTTTGAAGAGCCAAATGCAGAGATCTGGTGAACCGTGTGCCATAAGTTTCCCAAACGACCCTCCGCAGGTTTTGAATTCAAAGTTGCCCTTCTTCTAGAACAGTTTCCACCCAATGCTATAGAAGCCAGTCTTTCTTGCTATTTACCCATAGATGGGGGTGGGGAGAAGAAAAGGATTCATACCTGAGTGAATGTAATGGACTCGACAGGAAATCGAACTCAGCTCTCCGAGCCGCTATCCATTACACAACCGTACCTCAATATATATATATATATATATATATATATATATATATATTGTGTATTTTTGCAGAAAGTTTTCATTGATGCATGTTTCATTAAATAATATAGATTAGTTTTGTCTATTTATTTTAAGCAAATTCCTTTCATATAGTCTGATAAGCTTAATAACATTATCATTGAAAGACGAAAGGAAATCCCCATATTGATACATGCTTTTAATCCTATCTAAGCTTTTGGCTTACATAAGCCATTATCAAAGATGACAAATTCATTTCAATATATCAAACAATACACGGACAAAACAATAATGATAGTCTGTTTTTGTTGTCATCTTTGATAATGGCTTATGTAAGCCGAAAACTTAGATAAGATTCCCTGTGCCTAACTTTGCTAGGGCTTTTGAATGAGCCATGGATCATTGAAATCAGACCAGTGGAAGCGGAGGAGTTGCTTGGATACACACACGCACAAACACGCATACATACACTGTACTTTATATATAAGATATATACTGAATGAATGAAAATAACTCCTCATTTTAGAAAACTTATAATTTATTTATTAACAAAATCTTTTACAACAAATGGATATAAGATGAAAACGTTTAGTAAGAGGTTTTGTTTAAAATTGTAGCTATAGGCACGAGATTTTGCTACCAGCTTCTCGAGCTGCCCAAGAATAGAGACACAAGTGATTTCAACAGGAACTCTTGAGGTATGTAAGACATAACTTCTTGTATTCGACCATCAAGTTCTTTCAAGGTCTCAGTTTAGTATAGTAGACTTGTTCTTTTAACCAATTCCAAAGAAAAAAGTCACAGGGTCTTAAGTCAGAACTCCCGACTTGACACTCATATATAAAATAGGGAGTTAATTTTCACTCACCCTATATATATATATATATATATATATATATATGTGTTCATCCATAGATTGACTGTTTCGCTGTATTACAGCTCATCAGTGTGGCTAGACGTCCGGTTTCCTCTAGCTAGGATCGAAACCCGACTGAATTGGCGTCAGTCTGAGATTCTACTTCTAATCCGTTAGCGCACGGCAGGGATGAAGGTGAATTTAAGCGTATTTATTTTTTAGATAAACACACAGTGACTGAGAGAACTCAATTCGATTTAACGAAGAGTCTTGCATTATTAGTCGTAGTAGTCATTGTTTACAAACCCACACTTCCTCCCCAGAGAGCTCAACCGAAATAAATTTTTCAGGAGGATATGGAGGAGAGAGAGAGAGAGAGAGAGAGAGAGAGAGAGAGAGAGAGAGAGAGGCAGACAGACAGACAGACATACAAAGAGAAGGGGGGAAAGAAGGATGTAGAGAAAGAGAAAGAAAATAAAAAGCTGCCAT